GCTTCTATGCATCTTAAGCCCTATTGACATTTCTCAGTGCTTCTTTAAAAGGGACTTAACCAGCATCTTGAAACACTAGTCTGCCTTGGAATCTTTGTCTGGGAGAGACCTTGTTGATGCAGTATAACTACCTTGTGTCTTGTTGCTGTGCTTAATCTTGCCGTTACAAGACACTTTGCAATCTTCAATTTATGATAGGGTTTCAATCTCTGTGTGTCAGTAATCATCAGTTCGTTTCTGTTTGGTATAATTGGACTTATCCTTACAAAATTCTTGACTTTGTTTAAGTGCAGCTACTGGTTTGAAAGATAGAAACACCAAATATTAATTTGGTTTCTGAAAGCATTCTTCATTGGCCAAAACATTTTCACAGCACTGTGAGCTTTTCTTAACAGGGAGTGTGTTGTGCCACAGGATTCTCATCAGACAACAGCATTAAACACTTTCGCTTCTCTCCTCTTACACTCTCTTTAACAGGATTAAGAGTTGTGACCAGCTGTTATATAAGCCGTCATAAAGGTATAAGTCACCCCGACACTCTCCGGTGAAACTAAAGAAAAGAACATCTGCCTGTCATCCAGCATAACTCAGCCCGAGCCACAGAGAACACGGCTCCTGTCATACGCCAAAACACGCACAAGTAACCATTTACCTGCGAGTTACACAGCACGGTTCAAACTGCACAAATCGGCTTGACATGCTGCAGACATGAACACGATGGAGCTCCAGAAACACAATGTGGAGTGTGGAAAAAACTAAAGCACTGTTTTTCTAAATAATACATTCATTTTTATCAGTAAAAAAATCTTTATTTTCATTTTGTTTGATTATTCGGCCAGATAGCACATAGTTCATGGACACCCTGAGTGCCACATTTATTTGAACAGTAACACAAAGATGAAACACTGCAACACTTTTGGCCTGGCAGATAACTTTAGATTTATAAAAAAATATTTTAAAAGTATTGTTTCTTTTCATGAAAACCCCTGATTATGGTTTTTGCCTGCTATTTGTGTTTTCTCACAGTATTCCCATGGTAAGTGGACTCTGTAAAGCTAATGGGTTACAATAAAGCCACAATTCTAAGTGCAAAACCTTCTATATTGAGAATGTGAAAAGACATTTTGCACGTTCCTGAATAAAATGTACATCATGCCAAGAAAAAGGTATTTGGAGCCAGCAAAAATCAACTTTGAGTGTACAACCTGCTCTCGTTCATGTGCTCATCCCGAAACAAACCAGTTACAAACTGCCACAATTCTGATTATCCGGTTATTTTTCTGCTATTTTTTTCTACAACAATGGATACGGATGAAACCCTTTTCTACTTCTCTCTGGATCTCAGAGGAGGCAGTCGCATCTTTCTCCTCTCCCTTATCTCTGTTCTTGCTGGCACTCTGTGTTTTGTCTGTGAGAGACTCTCGCTGCCCTGCTCTCTGAATAAAAGGAACTATGGATCTGATCAACTGGTCTCTGAATGCAATTGATACCATTTTCTCTACGAGGAGCGTGGGTTCAGGGGAGTCCACCTGTCCTGCAGGAACTTTCGCTGCTGGCTACACGATGGACTCCTGGGCGAAGTGGAGGATTGTGTGCCTGGCTACTCTGTCCCTTTTATCATTTATCTAATTGGAGCTGTGATGCAACAGGGATTCCGCTGATCAGAATATGTGGAACTCTAGGCTATCGGCGATTGTCAAAGTGCTAAAAACCCTACTAAGCTGACCGGCTGGAATGAAATGTTGTCTGGACTTAAATCTATTGGGACTCACACTGTGGTCTGTGACCGCAAACTGGATATCATCGGAGAGAGACTGATGTCTATGCAACAGATGTTGTATAAAATGGAGACTGGTGATGGATTCTGACCCAAATTTAACTTCTCTTCCATCTGTCTATATGTGCTTGGTTGCAGTGGCTTTTTTAACCAGCTCCACACTGCCCTCTGAAGGACAGTACGGAAGAAGCTCTTTTTTGAGCCACCTTACCCACTGTATACCCATTTCTCTGTTTCTTTCTTAAATCCTATCTATCAACATTGGCCTGTCTTCTAACCTTGTCTATGTTTGTGGCCAGGGGGGGGGTCTCAATTTCACTGAATGTAACAGTGTATGTGACAAATAAAGGCTACTAATACTACTATATGTATGCAAGAGGTTTTCTTACAAACGTTGCAGCCCCCGCAATCTGATCACGTGAACGTCAGCGATCATTTTAACCCAATCTCAGACACATGCATCTCTGTACGAATCACTGTTTTACCAGTCGTGTCTGAATCAGCAAACTAGTGCTTTTGGTTCATTCATACTATTATGTATACACAGAATATTGTTTTTAAACTCAACATCAGTAAATTCACAAGATGAATATAGCTGACTTTTGAATAAACACATTTTTTCTCAATGTAACTTTTGGAACCAGACTTCATCTGTTACTGAAGAATGAAAGGATTCTCAACCAGAAAATATATGGAAGGGGCTGAAACTTGGTATTGTACAGCGATCGCCTCATAATGTGTTTCTGGTTCCTATGGAGGTGTCAGTGACATCATATAATGTTCCCCATGTCACTTTGATTGAAAAAAGAAAACAACTGCTATGTCACTATGATTTTCTTAAGCTGAGATAGAGATATGCTGATTTGGTTGCTATGGTAAACAGCATGGTTGCTATGGGGGAGTGGGTGACATAACACACTGTCCCAAATGTCAATTTGAGTAAAATAACCCAACCCCCATGTCTGTCATTAACAAGTTGAGGTAGTGTTCAGAAAAATTGGTTGCTAGGGTAAACCGTTTAGTTGCTAGGGAGTCAATGATGTCATAAAAGTCAATTTATTATTATGATTAAAATACCCCCATTTACGCTACGATCCTTCTAGATCCTAAAGAACTAATCATTTTTCACTGTGGTTTTCACAATATGTACAGAATGGTAAGTTTGGTCCAAGTGCTACCAGTTTAAATAGATATAGCAACATGAATCTGACCAGTTTGGATGTTTTGGCAAATTTTAATGGCTGGTTATTGAATGGTATAGGAGGAGATGCATTTCGAAATTTTTGTCCGAAGCAAAAGATTATTAACATTAAGTCGGATTTACACACCGCAAGCCCACAAAACAAACGAACACAGACAGATACATGCCGACCAAGAGAAATCTTACTGAGCTGTAGAGGAAGCCCTCTCCATTCATGCCGATGTAGAAACCTGCTTTGACTCCCTGGATGGCCACCACCCTTAAGCCTACTGGGATGAGGTTGAAAAGAGCTGGGGAGAGAAAACACAGTGCACGTCAACACACGCTGATGGTAGCATACTGGTTGTTACAGTACACAGTGTTTGGACTGGTTGGGTTTATGAGTTTGTATGTTCCATCACATGCGTATTATTAATTTATGCACAACCCTCATAAATGTTCTATTACAGAAGCCGATTTCACACTTACAAAGTGTTGACAAGGCGCAGTCGTAATTGTGCCTAATTTTAAGTTGATCAAAATGGTATTTTAAAAGCCACATTGTGATTTGATTTATTTCGATAGAGAGCGGGAAGACACCCCGGGCATCATCATAATCTAATAGCGACTGCAGAAGCAGACAGTTCATAATCACGCATGATCTACGGCAGCGCAGCTAGACATGAATCATCAAACATCTCCTTCAAATTAGCATTTTTTGAACGCCGTCATGATGGAATTTGCTCTTGTATAGCTCAGTCTCAACCTACGAGTTAATGTACCATTTAGCTGTAAAGTTGATCATCCTGTCACATCTTAAATTAAAGCTAAATAAATTTAAATGAGGGTTTTCTGTGGTGTCAGGAAGTGCACCAGTCACGGGGCATAAAATATTCTAAGAGTGTTTCCCTCCTGAACTGCTGACAGCTTCGGAAAGATGGCTCTTAATTAATTGCTTTCCTCATCAACATTATCATTACAGGGTTCAAAAGGTCGATCATTTCAAGGTGGAAGTAATGTATTATTCTGATAATTCATCCCGAGATCAATGCAGCAGAGTTTGACCTGAATCTCTCAGCTGTCGTTCGAGGTGGTGAAAAGTTTGGGGTTTGCTCACTGAATTATTAACAGGCGAGCGCTGGATCAGACTGAATGATAAATGTAAGAATTAAGCGAAGAAAGAACAATTCACTTCAGCTGTTCCAAAAAGAAGCCCAAGGCAATTGCAGTAGAACTCACCCCACTGCTTATTTTCTTTTTGTTACAGGAATTCAAATGTTGCTATAGGCTCCGCAGAAACCTTCCCCGGAGAACAAAAGCACACCGCATTCTGATTTCCCTGTAGTGGTTTTCCACTCTCTCGCTGAGGTCTTATAAAGGGCTTTTTAATACAGAGGTATCTCTGAGAGTTATTTGGAATCTATATAATGTCACTTATGCATTAGCTTCATTCCCAGGCAATAACCTTGTGCTACTGAAATTGTGGTAATTGCTTTTGTCATTGTGGCTAAAAGAATGTGATTGATGGATCCTGAACAGGTGTTCGCTGCCGCACTAAAAGCTATGATGTATAATGATGAGATTGATACCACGCATCTGCTGTTGGCACAACAAAAATATTATCCCTCCATTGACCCAAACATTTGTCATTTGTCGTCTTTGTTTAGACTGTATGATCACAGAGACTTGAGTGCACAAAAATACTGGCAAGGGGACATAAAGTCTATCCCCTCTTTCAGGGTACAATGTGTTTTGAGAAAAAAACATAGTGTTCCCTTTCAGTAAATCTCTTCAATGTTATATCGATAATCATGCCGCTAAGCTTAGATTTACTCTGAGGCATGGCTGGGGAACTCCTCTAAAATCTCATGCTCCATGGCTTGTTGGTCTAGGGGTATGATTCTCGCTTTAGGTGCAAGAGGACCCCAGGTTCAAATCCCTGATAAGCCCAGCTTTATTATGGTTCAACAATTAAATTTTCCACCCTTGTTGCATCTGTAGATTTGTTTTGATATAGCACACAAAATAAAACACACTTTCCATTGATTGTTGGTGTAGGGGTATGATTCTTGCTTTGGGTGTGAGAGGTCCGGGGTTCAAATCCTGTATAAGCCAGCTTTAAATAAAGTTCAACACCTATATTTTCCATGTGTTTTGCATCTGTAGTTTTGTTTCCACATTGCACACCAAACAAAACCCCTGCACCATGGCTCGTTGGTCTAGGGGTATGATTCTTGCTTTGGGTGCGAGATGTCCCGGGTTCAAATCCCCCACTTTGCATACCAAAGAAAACCCATTTTCCATAGCTTGTTGGTCTAGGAGTATGATTCTAGATTTGACCGCGGGGACTCTCGCACCCAAAGCGATAATCATACCCCTAGACCAACAAGCCATGGTGTGTTGGTTTTGTAATTTGTGCAAATTTGGGTTCAAATCCTGGACGAGCCCAGCTTTAATTATGGTTCAACACCTAAATTTCCCACTATTGTTGTATCTGTAGTTTTGTTTCCACTTTGCACACCAAATAAAACCCATGTTTCATGGCTCGTTGGTCTAGGGGGATTATTCTTGTTTTGGGTGTGAGAGGTCCCGGGTTCAAATCCTGGAAGAGACCAGTTGTAAATAACTTTCAACAACTATTTTTTCCACATGTTTTGCATCTGTAGTTTTGTTTCCACTTTGCACACCAAATAAAATCTACGTTCCATGGCTCGATGGTCTAGGGGTATGATTCTCGCTTAGGATGTGAGAAGTCCCGGGTTCAACAACTAAATTTTCTGCCCTTGTTGCATCTGTAGTTTTGTTTCCACATTGCACACCAAACAAAACCAATGTTCCATGGCTCGTTGGTTTAGGGGCATGATTTATGCTTCAAGTGTGAGAGGTCCCAGGTTCAAATCCCATACAAGCCCAGCTTTAATTATTGTTCAACAATTAAATTTTCCACCCTTGTTGCATCTGTAGTTTTGATTCCACTTTGCACACCAAATATTACCCATACACCTCGGCTCGTTGATCTAGGGGTATGATTCTCACTGAAGGTGCGAAAGGTCCCGGGTTCAAATCCCAGACGAGTCCAGCTTTCACTATGGTTCAACACCTATATTTTCCATGTGTTTTGCATCAGTAGTTTTGTTTCCACATTGCACATCAAAAAAAAAAACCATGTTCCATGGCTCGTTGGTCTAGGGGTATGATTCTTGCTTCGGGTGCGAGAGGTCCCGGGTTCAAATCCTGGACGAGCCCAGCTTTAATTATGGTTCAACACCTAAATTTTTCACCCTTGTTGCATCTGTAGATTTGTTTCCACATTGCACACCAAAAGAATTTCTATGTTCCATGGCTTGTTGGTCTAGGGGTATGATTCTCGCTTAGGGTCCGAGAGGTCCCGAGTTTAATTCCCGGACGAGCCCAGCTTGCATTATGGTTCAACAACTAAATTTTCCACTCTTGTTGCATTTGTAGTTTTGTTTCCACTTTGCACACCAAATAAAACCCAGGTTCCATGGCTCGTTGGTCTAGGGGTATGATTCTTGCTTAGAGTGCGAGAGGTCCCGGGTTCAAATCCCGGATGAGCCCAGCTTTCCTCATGGTTCAACAAATACATTTTCCACCCTCGTTGCATCGGTAGTTTTGTTTCCACTTTGCACACCAAATAAAACCAGGTTCCATGGCTCGTTGGTCTAGGGGTATGATTCTCGCTTTGGGTGCGAGAGGTCCCGGGTTCAAATCCCGGATGAGCCCAGCTTTCCTCATGGTTCAACAAATACATTTTCCACCCTTGTTGCATCTGTAGTTTTGTTTCCACTTTGCACACCAAATAAAACCCATACACCATGTTTTCTTTCCACTTTGCACACCAACTAAAACTCATACACCATGGCTCGTTGGTCTAGGTGTATGATTCTTGCTTAAGGTGCGAGAGGTCCTGGGTTCAAATCCCGGATGAGCCCAGCTTTCCTCATGGTTCATCAAATACATTTTCCATCCTTGTTGCATCTGTAGTTTTGTTTCCACTTTGCACACCAAATAAAACCCAGGTTCCATGGCTTGTTGGTCTAGGGGTATGATTCTTGCTTAGGGTGCGAGAGGTCCCGGGTTCAAATCCCGGATGAGCCCAGCTTTCCTCATGGTTCAACAAATACATTTTCCACCTTTGTTGCATCTGTAGTTTTGTTTCCACTTTGCACACCAAATAAAACCCAGGTTCCATGGCTCGTTGGTCTAGGGGTATGATTCTCGCTTTGGGTGCGAGAGGTCCCGGGTTCAAGTCCCGGACGAGCCCAGCTTTAATTTTGGTTCAACACCTATATTTTCCATGTGTTTTGCATCAGTAGTTTATTTCCACATTGCACACCAAATAAAATCCAGGTTCCATGGCTCGTTGGTCTAGGGGTATGATTCTTGCTTCGGGTGCGAGAGGTCCCGGGTTCAAATCCTGGACGAGCCCAGCTTTCATTATGGTTCAACAACTAAATTTTCCACTCTTGTTGCATCAGTAGTTTTGTTTCCACATTGGCACATCAAATAAAACCCATATACCATGGCTCGTTGGTCTAGGGATATGATTCTCGCTTTGGGTGCGAGAGGTCCCGGGTTCAAGTCCTGGGTTCAAATCCCGGGCGAACCCATCTTTAAATATGGTTTAACACCTAAATTTTCCACTCTTTTTGCATCTGTAGTTTTCTTTCCACTTTGCACACCAAATAAAACCCAGGTTCCATGGCTCGTTGGTCTAGGGGTATGATTCTTGCTTAGAGTGCGAGAGGTCCCGGGTTCAAATCCCGGATGAGCCCAGCTTTCCTCATGGTTCAACAAATACATTTTCCACCCTTGTTGCATCTGTAGTTTTGTTTCCACTTTGCACACCAAATAAAACCCAGGTTCCATGGCTCGTTGGTCTAGGGGTATGATTCTCGCTTTGGGTGCGAGAGGTCCCGGGTTCAAATCCTGGATGAGCCCAGCTTTAATTTTGGTTCAACACCTATATTTTCCATGTGTTTTGCATCAATAGTTTTGTTTCCACATTGCACACCAAAAGAAAACCCATGTTCAATGGCTCGTTGGTCTAGGTGAATGATTCTTCCTTCGGGTGCAAGAGGTCCCGGGTTCAAATCCCGGACGAGCCCAGCTCTCATTATGGTTCAACAACTAAATTTTCCACTCTTGTTGCATTTGTAGTTTTCTTTCCACTTTGCACAACAAATAAAAACCCATACACCTAGGCTCGTTGGTCTAGGGGTTTGATTCTCGCTATGGGTGCGAGAGGTCCCGGGTTCAAATCCTAGACGAGCCCAGCTTTAATTATGGTTCAACACCTAAATTTTCCACCCTTGTTGGATCTGTAGTTTTTTTGCACTTTGCACAGCAAATAAAACCATTACAACATGGCTCGTTGGTCTAGGGGTACGATTCTCGCTTACAGTTCGAGAGGTCGCGGGTTCAAATCCAGGACGAGCCCAGCTTTAATTATGGTTCAACACCTAAATTTTTCACCCTTGTTGCATCTGTAGATTTGTTTCCACATTGCACACCAAAAGAATTCCTATGTTCCATGGCTTGTTGGTCTAGGGGTATGATTCTCGCTTAGGGTGCGAGAGGTCCCGGGTTCAAATCCCGGACGAGCCCAGCTTTCATTATGGTTCAACACCTATATTTTCCATGTGTTTTGCATCTGTAGTTTTGTTTCCATTTGGCACACCAAATAAAACCCACATTCCATGGCTCGTTGATCTAGGGGTATGATTCTCGCTTAGGGTGCGAGAGGTCCCGGGTTCAAATCCTGGACGAGCCCAGCTTTCATTATGGTTCAACAACTATATTTTCCAACCTTGTTGCATCTGTAGTTTTGTTTCCACATTGCACACCAAAAGAAAACACATGTTCCATGGCTCGTTGGTCTAGGGGTATGATTCTTGCTTTAGGTGCGAGAGGTCCCGGGTTCAAATCCTTGTTGAGCCCAGCTTTAATTATGGTTCAACAAATAAATTTTCCAACCTTGTTGCATCTGTAGTTTTGTTTCCACTTTGGCACATCAAATAAAACCCATACACCATGTTTTCTTTCCACTTTGCACACCAATTAAAACTCATACACCATGGCTCGTTGGTCTAGGTGTATGATTCTTGCTAAGGGTGCGAGAGGTCCTGGGTTCAAATCCCGGATGAGCCCAGCTTTCCTCATGGTTCATCAAATACATTTTCCATCCTTGTTGCATCTGTAGTTTTGTTTCCACTTTGCACACCAAATAAAACCCAGGTTCCATGGCTTGCAGGTCTAGGGGTATGATTCTCGCTTAGGGTGCGAGAGGTCCCGGGTTCAAATCCCGGATGAGCCCAGCTTTCCTCATGGTTCAACAAATACATTTTCCACCATTGTTGCATCTGTAGTTTTGTTTCCACTTTGAACACCAAATAAAACCAAGATTCCATGGCTCGTTGGTCTAGGGGTATGATTCTCGCTTTGGGTGCGAGAGGTCCCGGGTTCAAATCCTGGACGAGCCCAGCTTTAATTATGGTTCAATACCTAAATTTTCCACCCTTGTTGCATCTGTAGTTTTTTTGCACTTTGCACAGCAAATAAAACCAATACAACATGGCTCGATGGTCTAGGGGTACGGTTCTCGCTTACGGTTCGAGAGGTCACAGGTTCAAATCCAGGACGAGCCCAGCTTTAATTATGGTTCAACACCTACATTTTTAACCCTTATTGCATCTGTAGATTTGTTTCCACATTGCACACCAAAAGAATTCCTATGTTCCATGGCTTGTTGGTCTAGGGGTATGATTCTCGCTTAGGGTGTGAGAGGTCCTGGGTTCAAATCCCGGATGAGCCCAGCTTTCCTCATGGTTCAACAAATACATTTTCCACCCTTGTTGCATTTGTAGTTTTGTTTCCACTTTGCACACCAAATAAAACCCAGGTTCCATGGCTCGTTGGTCTAGGGGTATGATTCTTGCTTAGAGTGCGAGAGGTCCCGGGTTCAAATCCCGGATGAGCCCAGCTTTCCTCATGGTTCAACAAATACATTTTCCACCCTTGTTGCATCTGTAGTTTTGTTTCCACTTTGCACACCAAATAAAACCCAGGATCCATGGCTCGTTGGTCTAGGGGTATGATTCTCGCTTTGGGTGCGAGAGGTCCCGGGTTCAAATCCCGGGCGAGCCCAGCTTTCATTATGGTTCATCAACTATATTTTCCAACCTTGTTGCATCTGTAGTTTTGTTTCCACTTTGCACACCAAAAGAAAACACATGTTCCATGGCTCGTTGGTCTAGGGGTATGATTCTCGCTTTAGGTGCGAGAGGTCCCGGGTTCAAATCCTTATTGAGCCCAGCTTTAATTATGGTTCAACAACTAAATTTTCCAACCTTGTTGCATCTGTAGTTTTGTTTCCACTTTGGCTTATCAAATAAAACCCATACACCATGTTTTCTTTCCACTTTGCACACCAACTAAAACTCATACACCATGGCTCGTTGGTCTAGGTGTATGATTCTTGCTTTGGGTGCGAGAGGTCCTGGGTTCAAATCCCGGATGAGCCCAGCTTTCCTCATGGCTCATCAAATACATTTTCCACCCTTGTTGCATCTGTAGTTTTGTTTCCACTTTGCACACCAAATAAAACCCAAGTTCCATGGCTTGTTGGTCTAGGGGTATGATTCTTACTTTGG